CATCGGTTCATGACGTTCCTCTGGTGGACGCCAAACCTGCTGCATAAACGTTCCGTGATTTCGTTCCCCCGCGTCGTCGCGGTTGTGGGAAGGCTCTTGGCGCTCGGCCGTATGGACAATCGCCTTTCCATAACTTCCAACCATGGATAAAGTCGGTGGTAACGGACCGAGTTGGATCGCCGACCGTAAAGACTCGAATTCACGTTGCCTTGCGTCGGCTTCCTCCGCGATCCGGCACTCAATCCTCTCCATAGCGGTCGTATTAGCAAGCTTCATTTCGCCCAGCTCTTGTTGCAGCACAGCTACTGTCTTCTCCATCTCGTCTGCGCGTTGATCCGGTTTTGGTGCCATTTCCCGGTGATCGGCGAAAAATGGCTCTGATACCAATTTGTTATGAACTTGTAATCAAAACACCAAGATCACTCTTTTATTTATCAAACAAGTGCAATACAAACAGAGAGATCCCAAGGATCCTCTCTTACACACCCACAAGAATGATCAACCACTTGATATCCCCTCTACTAACAAAAACGTAATCTTAAATAACCAATTCTCCTCCTTGCACATGGCTTGTCTCGTGTCTCATCAAGCCGTTACTCCCCTAGGTGACGTGTCTTCTTCTTCCAGAAGGATCAGACCCTGCCCGTCACTCCCACCTGATAAGTTAGCAGCCTTATCAGTCTCCTTATCAGCCTTCATCTTCTTGGGCCATTTCCTCTTGTATTGGTACACGATGGGAGCCCTTTCATTCACACTCCTAACACTCTGCATCCGACGTAGAAAAATGTTTAACCCGGTTTATGGGTTGTCTGAACATTGTTACCACTGGTGCAGGCCCATTACCAGATTCAGCAAATACTCAATCTTCCTGAAGAGAATCCATCATCATCCAGGCAACATGCGTTTTAGTACTACCTCGTGGAGAAGTGATCATGAGAAGTGCTCTTACGCTCTTCTCTTCTCCAGACTGGTCTTATTAGTCTTTTGATTTTTATAGCTTATGCGTGTAAGAAAAGAGAATTAGCTCTAGTGTCATACTAACTCTCCTCTCTGATTTGATTGAGCAATCTACGATTAAATGAGTGTTGTCGTAGAGTGAACCTTAATGTTGTTAGATGAGGCATTGTTAGACGAGTGTTGTCGTAGAGTGAACCTTAATGTTGTTAGATGAGGCATTGTCTAATATCAGATGTAGGAATGAATTAAAATTAGGTAACCCCTAAAATCAACACAAGTTACATTTTGAAACTCAAATTTGTGTCAGGTGTCATGGATACATTACAGAACACAAGCGCAGGGATTGGGAGCAATGGTACTTTCTCTAGTATCTGTTGGTTCTTTTAACTTGGCTAATATGGTTTGAAAATCTCTGCTTGTCTAAGTTGCATTGAAATGGATACGGGGAAAAACGGGGACGGAAACAGGGACAGAAAGCGGTAAAATTATAATATTTTAGAAATGGGTACGACATAGGTAGAGTAATTTGTGAGTTGTATGCACGGTTCTTGTGAGTTTGGTTTGAGAGCTTAGTATCCGGTAGATTAGTCTTTGGAACTTGTCATTGTATTTAGCTGAACCAATATTAGCTAAACAAACCTCATCGTGTTTAGATTGGCTTCAGTTTGACCACTCTCTAGTCTCTACTTGTGACCTTTAGACTCGCTGGTTTGTGTATAAAAAGCACAGTACAACTATTATGTATTTTCCAAATGATGTTTTT